ACTATAGTCAGAATTTTAATTAGATTCCAGATTTGACAATAGCTACTGTCATTTTGTGAAATAATGATACCACATATAATAGTGTAGTGATGAACACAAAAATCGATAAACAATCAGTGTGTGTGTTTTATAATAAATGTTACAGAAAGTGACAGGATAGCGATAGCGATGACGGCGACAATTTATAAAATAACTTATTACCATAATACATCTATCTGTTTTATTTGTCATGTTCCTTCATGATTACATTTTTTTATTTATTTCACACACAATTATAAAAGAAAAGTCTCAGATCGTTAATTAATCGTCAAACTAAATTATCGGTTCAGAAACATTTAATTTCCTGATATAATTAGTTTACGGGAGTAAAATTATAAACGAGAAGAATCAATCCAGAAATAATGCATTTCCATATCGAATAATTTCGCAACGTCACTATTTAGTACTTGTCATAACGTTGCAACACTGAAATTGTCAAATTTGGAATCGAATTAAAATTCCGAATATAGTAGGTACTACAACTATTGTTTTCGAACTGTCAAAAATGTCAGTTTTCTATGAATTTTGTACGAGATTGTGTTCTTGACGTCACGTCTTTTTAGCGTGAAAAGCATAGATACTTATTTCTTAAAAAATTGCTGAAAGTATATACTAAAAATAAGTTGGTCATAAAATCAATTAATGAAAGTGTGATTATTGTTTAATATTCTATTGTATTGTACAGTCGAAATATCTAAATTGAAAAAAAAATAAAATAAAATAATGACTGCACGGTTGGTGCGGTGGCTGGGCAACCGGCCGCCGTGCAACGTGTCGCGGGTTCGATTCCCGCACGGAACAACACTTTGTGCGATCCACAAATTGTTGTTTCGGGTCTGGGTGTCATGTGTATGTGAACTTGTATGTTTGTAAACGCACACACGACACAGGAGATAATCCTAGTGTAGGGCAATGCCGCAATGTTTATTTAATAAAAAAAAATTACTTTTGATTTAGGAAAGTACCCAACTTTTGCTGTTAAAGTCACTTATTTCATCCCCAAAAGCGGTAAATATACTGTAGAAAAACCTTTGTCTAAGTGGGGTTCCTTTTGGCTGTTTTCACTAACCGTCCCTGTAAATGAACAGACGAGATCACCTGATGGTAAGCAATCGGCGTCGCCCATGTACACATGGAACACCAGAGGCGTTACAAGTGCGTTACTAATCTTTTGAGGATTTTTGAGGATTCAGGGAAGGGTAGGTAATTGTGCCTCCGGTAATCTCACACACACGACGAAATACAACGCAAGCGTTGTTTCACGTCGGTTTTTCTGTGAGACCGTGGTATCACTTCAGTCGAGCCTGCTCATTCCGAAGCATGGCTCTCCCACACTTATTTAACTTACTAAACTTAATATACATTGGAAAATACCTGCCATGCCTGCCATTAAATAAATG